TATTCTTCACATAAAGCCTGTTTCCAAGTCATCAACTCAGCTGGATTGCAGAAAGGTATGTTCTTTTTGATATCGTGGTTCGTTTACTTACTTTGGTTTTCTAATAACTTTGCGTAAGCTTAAAACCTCAAAGATAAATCTTAAAATTTAAGATGCATGCTCAAATATGCCATTGATTGATTCCTTTTTGTTTACTGCAGAAATAACTGTACTCTTTGTTGCGCATCGTCTTCAGGCAAACATTTCTTTTACACCAATATAAGTCGGTGATGTGACCTTAGCATGTCCATAATTCAGTAATTTGGCTTGTTGTACAGCTGAGTTAATATGTTAGATCTTTGGGGTTACTGTATTTTTCAGGTGACAGTACTTGACAAAGCAGTGGTCACTATAATTTATTATTTATAATATTCTACATTTCAAATGACAAATGATTTTCCTTTTCAAATTTTTACAGTCAAAAACTCTTGTTTTACATCTATACATAATTATCATTCAGTGATATTGTGAAATCTTAATTGGTTCATTTTGCAAGTGACAGCATAAGTTCAAGTTGCCAGATCTTGAAGCATATGTGTCATTCTGAGTGACCAGTGTATTATTGTTCCACATTTAAATGACAAATGAATCAAATTTCATAAATTGTACCATCCAAAACTCTTATGGTTTATACATATGGCTCAGTGATACTGTGAGATCTTAATTTTGGTTCATTTTGCGAGTGACGGCACTTGCCAGATCTTGGAGCCTATGTGTCATTCTGAGTGACCACAGTATTATTGTTCCACATTTAAATGACAATTGATTCTTCTTTCATAAATTGTACCATCCAAAACTCTCATGGTTTATACATATGGTTCAGTGATATTGTGAGATCTTAATTTTGGTTCATTTTGCGAGTGACGGCGTATGCCAGATCTTGAAGCCTATGTGTCATTCTGAGTGACCACCATATTATTGTTCCACATTTAAATGACAAGTGATTCTTCTTTCATAAATTGTACCATCCAAAACTCTTATGGTTTGTACATATGGTTCAGTGATATTGTGAGATCTTAATTTTGGCTTATTTTGCGAGTGACGGCATTTTTTTCATTTTGTGAGTGAAGCCTATGTGTCATTCTGAGTGACCACTGTATTATTGTTCCACATTTAAATGACAAGTGATTCTTCTTTCATAAATTGTACCATCCAAAACTCTTATGGTTTATACATGTGGTTCAGTGATATTGTGAGATCTTAATTTTGGCTCATTTTGCGAGTGACAGCACTTGCCAGATCTTGAAGCCTACGTGTCATTCTGAGTGACCACCGTATTATTGTTCCACATTTAAATGACAATTGATTCTTCTTTCATAAATTGTACCATCCAAAACTCTCATGGTTTATACATATGGTTCAGTGATATTGTGAGATCTTAATTTTGGTTCATTTTGCGAGTGACAGCGTATGCCAGATCTTGAAGCCTATGTGTCATTCTGAGTGACCGCCGTATTATTGTTCCACATTTAAATGACAAGTGATTCTTCTTTCATTAATAATATTGTACCATCCAAAACTCTTATGCTTTATAAATATGGTTCAGTGATATTGTGAGATCTTAATTTTGGCTCATTTTGCGAATGATGGCACTTGCCAGATCTTGAAGCATAAGTGTCATTCCAAGTGACCACTGTATTACTGTTCCACATTTTAAATGACAATACCTCATTATTTATACCTTTTGTACAGCTCAATGATGTTGAGGGATCTTTGTTAGTTCATTTTGCGAGTAAACGCTTTGGCTTTATCATGCCAAATAACCACAATTAATTAATTATTGTTCTAAGCAACATGTGGGTTGCCTTAATGTTATGTTTCTCAGGTTCTGACCGGTTTTACGGTTTATGTGTACAGTTGAGTCATGGCTGTGCTCTGTTAGAGCCTGGTGACCTGTGGGACACTATCAGTTCTGCTCTTGAATGACACTGAGGGGAATTAATTTATTTCAGTTTTTTCTAGTCTTAATGAAACAAATGCAGATTCAACAGAAAGAGGCATTTCTGCTGTCTACTTTAACATCTGTTCCATAAAACATATTATATATTTAATGAAAAAGTTAGTAGGGATAAAATGCAGGGAGAAATTTTTCTCACAAATATCCTCAAACTGTTCCTTTGATTAAGAGAGTGTTTTCAGCTTTTAGAATCGTGTCATTGTTCTGCAACCCAATCATTTACACTGAGCATGAGCAGTACATGCTTGTTTATCAACTGTGGGTTACTTGTTGGCTGCTAAATCATGGCTCTTCATTTTTCTTTCAGAAAAAAAATTAAAGGGCCAATATGCTCTGAGGGAGTCAACTAGCATCAGTTAGTTAGACAAGGACAAGTACCTTGCATGTATGTCCGTTGCATATATGTCATCAGAGGAGTCTTTGTCTGAAACAGCTGTATCAGAGTGGCATGAAGGTAATTCTTCAGGTTCAGATGAGGACCTCCCAAACAGGGAAAATCTCTGT